CTGGGATGGCTGAGCACCCACTGGGATGGCTGAGCACCCACTGGGATAGCTGAGCACCCACTGGGATAGCTGAGCACTCATGGGATGGCTGAGCACTCACTGGGATGGCTGAGCACTCACTGGGATGGCTGAGCTCTCACTGGGATGGCTGAGCACTCACTCTGAGGGCTGAATGCTTGGGAGTCACTCCCAAAACTCTCTTTGCTGTGAACAAGCCCCGTCACAGCCGAGGGAAATGTGAGAACTGGGGTTTTGCTCCCCTGGGTGTCACCGACAGCCTTCCCTCTGCACAGAGATTGGAGAGAGTGTAAATGTGTGTCTGAAATGGAAGAACAGTCCTGCAGATGAGGTTGATTATGTCCCTCATCCCTTGCAGCACCTTCAGGCCTTGCTGCTAATGAAAGTAAAAGGTTTGTAATCACTTCAGTCTTCTGTATTCTTAGGCAGCAGGTTGTTGGAGGCCTTGTCCTCCTCTGCTGCCTCTAATGACAAAATTTAAATGCATAGGCTTATTTAAATGCAGGAACAAGGCCGGCTGTGGTGCTGGCTTGGCAATGCCTGTGGAAATCCAGAAGGGCAGAGGCTGGGGGTGTTTAACCCCTTGGAGTCAGAGCCAGGGGTTGAGCAGCAAAGAGGCCTCGTGTTCTGTGCCCTCTGCACGGAGCAGGGGGGGAATTGGGAGAGGGGAAACTCCAGTGACTGCACAGGGGGGAGATCCCACAGAATCATGGATCAGAGAGCATGCTGAGTTGGAAGGGACCCATCAGGATCATGGAATCCAACTCCTGGCCCTGCACAGACACCCCAACAATCCCCCCCTGTCCCTCAGAGCGTTGTCCAAACCCTCCTGGAGCTCTGGCAGCCTTGGGGCTGTGCCCACTGCCCTGGGGAGCCTGGGCAGTGCCCAACCAGCCTCTGGGGGAAGAACCTTTGCCTGAGATCCAACCTGAGCCTGCCCTGACACAGCTCCAGCCCTTCCCTGGGTGCTGTCCCTGGTCACAGAGAGCAGAGGTCAGACCTGCCCCTCTTCTGCCTCTCAGGAGGGTGGTGAAGACCACAGTGAGATCTCCCCTCAACCTCCTCTTGCCCAGGCTGAACAAACCAGGTTGGTTTGTGTCTTTCTTACATATTCACACACTTAACTTTTCAGAAAGCACAGAGAACTGCTGAGGAGAATTCAGCCCTGGCTTTAACTTGTTATGCTGGAACAGCACAGCTGCCATAAAGACTTCCTGCAGCAGTGGGGTCTGGAATCCCCCAGTCCCCTGGCAAGGCCAGAGGGAGAACACCTCTGCTGGCAGTGCCACGTGGGGAGAGTGGGGCTTATGCAACTCTGTGGATGGAGGAAATTATTCCCACTTCTCAGTGGCAGGAGAAAAGCTCATTCCTTGGATTTACTTGTAACTCAGTTGCTCAGCAGGGGAGAGGAGTGCCAGGAGTGCCAGGGGGGTCCTTGCTGCCCTGGAAATGTAGGGCAGGGGTGGCTGCAAAAAAGGCACTTCCCTCCATCCATGGAGTGAGCTGGTGTTCAGCACCAGGATGTTTGGCTGGAGAGTGAATCCATCCCTATGGGGTCAGTCACGGAGCAGGGCAGTGGGATCAGGGAGCTAATGGCACCTTGGGTAGAGGGCACAGGCAGGGAGGGTGTTAAACCAGGATCCACTCTTCTAGTCACCAAATCCTCCTTTTAAAACATTAAGCTAAACATACAGAAGAAAAGATGAGGCTTGTGTTGGTAAAGAACCATATTCCCATGTTGGGAGTTGTGTCCTTGTCACTTTGTCCCTTCTCTGAATGCCTAAGCAAAGGAATCTGGGATGGAAAACATGAGTGAGTGTCCTGAACAGTGACACTGGTACCTGACTCAGAGGGATCTGAAGTCTCTTTTTTTACTTGAAGCTAGAAAAATAGAATTTTGAAACACTGTGTGGAAGAAGGTGTTTGTGGTCGTGGAATAACTGGTCCCCAGTTCAGACTGGTGAAGTTTTGTTTCTAGATTTTCAGCTGGGTTTGTCTGGTAACATCAGGCTTCTGTGGGGCATTAGAGCTGTCACCCCTCTGGTATAAGATGGCATTAAAAGTGTTAGTTACTGTCTGCAACTCGGTGTCCATGGTTATTAATTGGGTAGAAGAACAAGCACAGATGTCCCAGGTACTCACTGTGCTCTACCAAGGTTTTTCTGAGCTAAAATTAATCAGTTGGTATGAAGCCTTACGTGTGATCACACCTCATTTCATCCTTTACATGTCTCCTCTCACATGGCTTTCCAACCAAACACGCTCCTGGAAGCTCTGAAAAGGCATTTCTGGAAGCTGAAG